TAAAAAAAAAACTTTTTTTGTTTACCATAGTCTAACTTTTATCTATCTGGGGTAGAGAAAGTTTTTCGAATTCGGACTTCAAAATTTCCTGTTTACGTAATCCTGGTTAATTCACTTAAGCGTGCATTTAGATATTTTAATTTTTTTTCTTTGAAAATCACCCTGGCATTAATTTTTTTGGAGAGTTTTTTTGCAGCAGAATCTTGCCATGAAATCCAGTGCAAATTCCTCAGGTTTTTGATAAGTGATAGCTTTACAGCTAGTGCTAATTGCACACAATAAATTGCATGGGGATGCAGAGTACAAAACACCATGTACCAGTGCTCAATGATACCACAATTCATGTCACATCAGTTGCTATTCTATTCTAAATTTTTGTGATGTGCAGGGTATCTGCTCACCTGGAAAGTCATGAGAAATCATGGAAAGTCATAAATTTCGGTATTGAACAAAATTTGTCATGAAATTTCATGATTTTAACTAGTTTTTTAAACAAATTATGGAAAGTCATGGATTTAGGTCGCCGAAAAATCTAATTTTTAAAATGGAATTTACTCCCTCCCCCCCTCAATTTCGTGGTGTTCCGAATATCTGAATTTGTAACAAAATCTCTGCGCACAGTCTTATTTTATTAAAATATAAAAATTTTTATCATCTTCTTTTCAAATTATAGTGTTCTTTAAAAAAATGAAAGAAAAAACATTATTTCTAGAGCAAATTATCTTTTAAATTTCTGTGATTTCAGAATTTTTGTTATTATTTTTTTTAATTTTATTCCGAAATGAGAACAGAAAAATCAGGAGTATTTCTTTCCTTTCTGATGAACAAGAAAAAAAATATTTGCTTAGTTATTTTTTTTTGAGCTATTTTATTGCTTCAACTCTTTCTTTACTCTGTTTTTTAAGTTTCAAATCTATAAATATGAAGATGCAGAGTATAACAGTTTTGGTTATTCCTATCATTCCAATGAATGTTTTTATAATACTTTATTAAATTTTAGTGTTTTTGTCGGAGAAAATAGTAACTTCATTAACCCTCCGCGTACGACTTCCGCGATTTGAGCGGGTTATCTGTTTCGTCCCCTTCTACAGGTAGCGTGAAAGTCGCGGGCAAAGAAATTTTTCCCCTGATTTCAAAACGGATCTGGCCATTTCCCGGTTAAAGCGTAGCCACCGGCCTGTGTTCCCCGTGTGCGATAAGCATTTATGAAAGATATGGATTTGCAGAGTGTCAGCGGTGTTATATGCAGGAATGCCAACTGCTCCGCTTTCTGGAATAGTTTTAATAAAGTGGTAGCAAATTATATAGAAAAATTTGTTGAAGGAAGATAGTAACGCCTATTTTTTAATGTAGTAACCAGTAGATTGATCCTTTAACATTGCATTTCATATCATACTTATAATTTTTGATATTTAGGGGTGAAAAAATTAGTTAAAATGAAAAATATTAAACTAAAAGTAACTTAAAAATCGCCCCGTTTTTCAGGACCGGAAAGTATAAAAACTAAGCTGTGCGCAGGGCTCAAGTCATGAAAAATTCTTGGAATTAGTCATGAATTTGAAAATCTGAAATATAGCAGATACCCTGTATGTTCACATCTTTGGATAACTCTATTTTATTAAAAATGTAAATATTTTTAAGAAGCCAAAATCCAGATGTTCTTTGAAAAGGATCTTTTAGAATGTAATTTTGGTTGATGGGTTTTACACTTTCAATTATGTTTTACAGTTTTTTGTTGACATACTAGGGTCCTAAATTTCAAACTATTACTCAAAAGGAAAACAAGTTGCATAATAAGTTCTTAAAAGGGTCCTCAGAAAAACATCTTAAAAATTTAAGTTATTTCATGTTCGCTTTATAAATCTGGAACCACTTGAAACTATAATTTTTGCTAAAAACCTGTGTATAGAAGTTGAGACTGCAGAAATTTAAATATTAAAACATTATTCACTTTTTTAAGTGATAAAGGTCCTAAAATTTCAATTTTTCTAGGTTTTTAGTTAAAAATATCATAATTTTGAGTATTTGTTAATTTTTTTTTCAATGTTTGTAACTGATAAGTCTTGTTAAAAATTCCTTGAAATGTTAGAAATTATTTAAACCAAGAGTTAGATTTGTAGGTGTAGTAATGTGTGGATAAATCATAATGCATTGTTCAATCATATAATAAGACTATTATTTGATAATATATGGAGTATTGATATTGATTTATACAATTATGCCACTTTTTGCTTTTTCCTTGAATTCCCCTTTTTGTATCATTTACTTTAAAGTGTGTTCAGACAATCGTAGAGTAAGCCATGAATTTTCAATTTTCTTCTCATTCTTTTATCTCAGTATACTGTTATCTGAGTACGCTAAGTGTGCTGAGTACTTGGTGTAAAATACTAATTAAAATGATATTGTGTACATGTTGTGTTCATTTTTTAATTTTCACGAATTATTTCTAAATTTTCACAAAATAGATACCTTTTAGAAAAACCTAGACAGACCCCTGATTTATATGTTGCAGTAGTTGTTTTAAATGACTATCCGCAAAATGTACATAAGTAAATGTTACATATTCCCAGACTTGAACTAAGTACTGTATGTTCAAATCCCTCTGCTAAACAGATTCAATTGGCTACTTCTTTTCAGTATATGTTTAGGTTAAAATAATTGAGTTTACGTTAAACTAATTAAGTTTCCATGTTTAGGTGCTACTTATTTTGTAATTTCAATATGTATATTCAGTTGACATAAAAAAAATCATCCAAAATAGGATATAAATAAAAGTTATTCAGAATGAATTATTGAACTGTATTTTGGTATTATTTAAGTGTATTTTGGTATCAAAAGCTTATATTGTTTCTGTTCAAAATTTTAGATATTGAATAACTACTTTTTTCCTAGTAAATGTCTGTATTTAAGTGATAATATAATTGCAGAGAAAAGAAGTGTTCATGGTTCTTTATCTTTATTATTATACATAATTTAATTATGTCTAAAATGGTAGTTGGTTTAAAAGTGGATCTGCAAGATAGAAAATATGACATCTATAGCATCAACATCTTCATTTTTTTTTTTTTTAAATTGTCTTATAATTTCTTATCAAACTATTATATATGCCCAAGAATAAATTAAATTTTTTTATTTTCCTTTAGTGGATAAATGATGTAGATTTTTCTGGAATACAGGGAGGAGATTCTTCCGCGGATTTCCGCTTTTTTTTTCTTCAGATTTTTCCATTTTTTCCGCTAATTTCCGCTGAAATTTTTTTTTTCACAAGTTAAAATGTTTTATGAGGAATTTAATTTTCCACGGAGGGAAATTGTTGAAGTCCCTTTTCCTCCCTCTGAAGTTTCTCTAAAAATCATTTCCTTGGGATAAAACTTGATGACCTTTATACAGGGATGAGATTTTTTTTGTCTCTCGAATTTCAGCCTTTTTTATCAAAAACTCCGATTCTCTAAAAGTTTCGTTTTTTTAAATAAATTTCCCGTTTTTTTTTTTTTTAATTCAGTCATTGAAGTAAAATAATTATATTTATTTACGATTTTCAAAGATAAACAGAAAATTCAATCTACGCCCTAGCTGCTAACCCTTCCGCATTTTTACTTATTTTAGCTAATTTCTCCGATTTCACGCACAGAAAATAAGATTTTCCGTATTTTTTATCCGTCGACTGGCTAGCTCGTATTTTCGTAATTCAGATCTCGATTTTTATTCAAGCGATTTTAATATCAATCATCGATTTTCGTACTTACCCGATTTAAAAGTTGCACACTGCGAGTCTTATTTACGCAATTTAAATATCGTATATTATTACAGGGTGCGTAGCGTTTGTAAAAAGTACTTAAAGGGGCTTTTTGGGGGATTTCGTTTTTAAAAGCTTTTAAAGGTGCTTTTTTCAGCTGGCGTTTTTAAAAAGTGCTTTTTTCCGAATTATTTTTTTTTCTCCCTTCAGTGATATCTGGTGGATCCCATGCATTTCACGAAAAATGGGGAGTTTGCTACGTAATCATTCATGCGGACTTCACGTCGTACCCACGTTACGACTTGCGCATTCGCGCACACTTGAAACCGTAACCCGAGTGCTCCAATTCAGATAGAGAATATTAGATCCTTATGAAATGTTTTTCTTTTGAATTTATTTTAATTTTGTTCTTGCTTATTTTATTTTACTTCTAACAGTTTTTTTGACGTAGGGGGTAAGGGTACTTTTGTTCTGAGTTCAGGGTCAAGTTGAATTCACTCGGTGATGTGGGAAAGTACTGATTGTTTCGATTTACGCCCGTTTCTTTTTGGGGGTTTTTTTAACGCTAAAACTGTTAATAAAATGTTTTTGTTTTTCAATAATATCATTGATTGAATATGAATTTTTTAAATGCTTGAAAATATTTGTAAAGTGCTTGAAAAGTTTTTAAAAAGTGCTTATTTTTGATTCAAAGATTTGGCTACGCACCCTGTATTATTCTTATTTTAGACATTTAAAAATCCAATATCGTGTTTTATATTTATGCATTTTTAAAATCGCGATTTTATTATCAAATCTCGATTTTCGTATTTTCCTGATTTTAAAAGTTGAACGTTGCGATTCTTATTCAGGCGATTTAAATATTGTACAGTGCGATTCTTATTTACGAGATTTAAAAAATCAATATCGCGATTTGTATTTTCGTGCTTTTAAAGCTCTATGTAGCAATTCGTATTCACGTGAGCTTAAAATCCAATATCGTGATTCGTTTTTGTGGTTGTAATATCGCGCGATTTAAAAATTATGCATCGTGATCAAAAAATTAAAAAATCATGATTTGTATTTTCGCATTTTTTAAATTCGATGTAGAGTTTCATATTTACGTGATTTAAAAGTCTCATATCGGGATTTATATTCACATGGTTTACAAGTTTAAAAATCGCACTTTTTTGTCAAATTTTTGTTTATATATATATATATATATATNTCTCGATTTTTATTCACGCGATTTTAATATCAATCATCGATTTTCGTATTTACCTGATTTAAAAGTTGCACATTGCGATTCTTATTTACGCTATTTAAATATCGTATATTATGATTCTTATTTACGACATTTAAAAATCCAATATCGTGTTTTATATTTATGCATTTTTAAAATCGCGTCTTTATTATCAAATCTCGACTTTCGTATTTACTTGATTTTAAAAGTTGAACGTTGTGATTCTTATTCAGGCGATTTAAATATTGTACAGTGCGATTCTTACTTACGAGATTTAAAAAATCAATATCGCGATTTGTATTTACGAGCTTTTAAAGCCCTATGTAGCAATTCGTATTCACGTGATCTTAAAATCCAATATCGTGATTCGTTTTTGTGGTTGTAATATCGCGCGATTTAAAAATTATGCATCGTGATCAAAAAATTAAAAAATCATGATTTGTATTTTCGCATTTTTTAAATTCAAAGTTTCATATTTACGTGATTTAAAAGTCTCATATCGGGATTTATATTCACATGGTTTACAAGTTTAACAATCGCACTTTTTTGTCAAATTTTTGTTTACATATATATATATATATATTCTTTTTTTTTTTTTCTTTTCTTTGTTTTTTTGGATTTCCTCTTTTTTACTTTCTGACTACTCTCATCCCTGGGAATAGTTTCTTTGAAAAATATTGACTACATGGAGAATAGGGGAATTTTGACCTTTATATACATGTGATAACAAATTTTCTACTGAGTTGACACGCTTATGTATATTATGCATACCTGGCAACCAGTTACTTAAAAAAATTGTTCTTTATTTGTTTTAATTTCATGTTATCTTTACTTACCTAATAAATTACATTGCTGTGTGCCTTTTTTCTCTTTGGAATTGTTCTTTTGACTAATCGAGTTTTTTTCTGTATACCAAATATGAACCCTGTGCTTGAATCGTCTGGAATTCAGTTCCTTTTGCCTATGTGACTTTTTATCTTAAAAATAAAATCTCTTCTAAATCTATTTTTTTTTCTATTTAATGTTAGATTTCCACTATTTAACATCTCACTTTCATATTTAGCTCCACACATGGACCCTGCTGTAGTGGCTGTTCATCAAATGGCACCTGCTCCATCAGCTAATTTTGCCAGCTCCTCTTATCCCTCATCACCCCCTGTTGAAGAGAATGGGAAACCAGTCAATAACATTGAATCTACAGATGCTTCACTTCCCCAACCTGCTCTCAATGCTCCTCAGTCTGTACCTCCTGCCCTTGACTTTGACCCCTCTCATCCTATCCCTACTCAGACTTTCACCAACCAAAGCTTCGCTGTGATGCAGAATATGATCATGCCGCAAGCATATGTCCCCGTCACTCTTCATCATGCACCTTTGCCTACCACCATTGCTGTTATCTCTGCACCTCCAACTGGAGTACATGTGCCAGTCGCAGTTCCAGTTCCTGAAATGGCCGACTTGGCTAAGTCTGATTCTGTTCAAGCGGTGAGTGGTGCTTTGTGGCTGGTTAGTTTAATTTTTTACTATTTTCAGAGTGGCTGTGATAGCCTAGTTGGCATGGCACTTAACTCTCGTTTGTGAAAACGGGGGTTCGGATCCGGCAGGCTGGAGACTCCGTGTAGTAAATGGTGACTGTTGCACATTAAATCTGTCTGGTCACAAAGTCATCCATGTTCCCATAACAAATCAATACCTCTGGAGATAATGAATTGGAGATGAGTCATCCTCTGGTACAGGTCAAAAGTGCGATCTGTTGGGGAGTAAGTGTGAATCGTCCTATAAACGGGTGTGATGTATGGTTGTGGCAGAAGTCAAATTCCTTTCCATAGATGGTGCCATTGGAAAACAGAGACAATCACACCCCCTCTGCCTTAATGGCTTACGAGAACAACTATTTTCAGATAATTGCAAGAAGGACAAACGTATCCTTTAATGTTGTCTCGTAGTACCTCATCAATCCTTGAAATATGACATTTAAAATCGGTTTGGTGATGAATCTTGCTTTTTAACGCAGGGAACTTCTGTGCAAAACTTTTTAGCATAGTACTTGGATTTTTGGAGTCAATTTCAAGAACATAATCAGTCATATGATATCCATTTTTTTGTACATTTACAATAAAAATTTCTTTTTTGCAAATATTTGTAATTTTTACAGTTTTGGAGGGGAAAGCCATTCCCGTATTAATAATATTGAGCCTGTTTATCTCGAAATTTCTAAAATTCCCTACATTTACTGTCTAAAATCAATGTGTTTTCCATGTTTATGTCGAAATTTTTTCTTCTTCAGAACCTCCGTTTCTCAAATTTCTAATAGTAGAGCACAAATTTCACAACTTTCTTTATCAGTTGGACTCGTAGACAGTGATGAATTTCGTGAATCCATAGGAAGTAGGGATGAACAGGTAGAGAGTGTTTCTTGGAATTTCAATTATTATCCCTGCACTTGCTTAACTAGAAAGGAATACAATGATTCTGGCCATAAGTGAGGGGTTAATGAGTAGTGACCATCAGGGGTTAGTATTTCAACATAGTTAAGAAAGCAGTTGCTATGCAAACTTGTAGATGCCATCGATGAAACAAGTTAGTTCAAGAACTATAAGAATTACTGTTTTGCCTGGAGAAATGTCTCTTAAAAACTATCCAAAATCATTTTAAAAAGCTGGTTTTAAAAATAGCTGCGAAGATGTTGAATAAGAGGTTGAAGGCATCAGTAAAAGAAGAAGAAAATGTTAAAGCTGAAAATGCAGTGCCAGATTTGCCAGAATGGAATGCAATAAAATTTGGATTTAATGTTGACATTAATTTTGAAGATTTTTACAAGTGGACAACTGCCTGGAAACATGTGGAACATTGACAGATGTGGAAATTATAGATAATGTCAAAGGAATATCAGATGAAGAGAAAGAAGCTGAAGATTATATTGATGAATCAAAAGTTAATGCAAAAGAAGTAGAAAACTTATAAACTACTCTTGACTCCCAGGAAAATGTTGGCTAAGAGGAGTTGGCGCTCTTTCTAACCTCAAAAGAATAATCGAAACAAATAAGGTTATTCGTCAAAAAATTTCGAAAGCTTATTTTCAGTGTTTAATGTATGTTAAGAGTTAAGAAACTGTTATGTAAATAGATATATGTGGTATAGTTAAATTAAAGAAATGTCTATATTTTTCTACTAAAAGCAATTAAAGCACTTTTAATAGAATTTCTTAATTAAATTTAATTTTTTTAAATTACCTGTATAACTCGAAACCTCTTTTATCTCGAATATTTGGCTTCCCGTGAGATTCGAGATAAACAGGTTAGACTGTATTTTATTATTAAAGAAATAAGTTATGTATAGTTGTGTTCATCTCTTTTCAGTGTTTGTAAAAGAGTTTTAATTGTGTGACATGCCTTGAATGCCACTCTTCAATCCTGAGGACTGAAACCAGTCTTGAGAAAATAATCAGTGGACTGGATTCCATCCTTCAATTAATATTGAATGGGATTGACTAACTTCAACATCTACTTGAGTTATTAATTTTTCCTGACATTTCGGGATGCTAGGCAAAATCTAAATTATAATTATTTTCCTTAAAAAATTAAACTACTCTAGCGAAAAAACTTTATTATCATGAAGTAAAAAATAAGTAATGTTATAAATTTCTCCTATAAAAAGTTGGCTTTGTAAAAATACATATGAGGTTAGCTGTTAATTTTGTATTGTCTGCTGGGAAAAATAAACTAATAAAATGAAAAATAAATGTGCTCTTTTAGAAAAATAAGCAGCCATTAATATATTATGTGGGATGGAATATAATGTATTTGTTTCGGATTTACAGCTGACTCTCAATGAGCTGTAAATTTCGGAAAAATTCTGTTACATAAGGCTAGACAATGTTGATCAAATAATAAATTCAGTTGTGAATTCTCTTTTGAGTGGCACTCATGGGGTGATATGCTCGTGCATCGATTTATTAGCTGCTAAGCAAAACAATTTTTTTCCTTTGATGATTCCATTTTCATATTTATTAATAAGGAAATAAACAAATGTTATGAATCATGGTAAAAACCCACTAATGAACTGGTTGAATGCAAAAGTAATAATTTGGTTTGCCATACTTCTCACACAATTTTTTTCCCAGGACTGTTTTCCTGCTCTACATGTTTACATACCAAAGGATTCGTGTCTAAGCTAATCAAATTATAAAGTTTATCATAAATAGGTAGTTTGTAAACATAAAATTTCTTAAACTGAATAAAAATGCTGGCTTAATCCTATTAAATATCTTTAAAAATATCAAGCAATTTATATCAATTTAAAAGAAGAAAATATGTGTTTTTTAATATGTACCCACTGACCATACACTGTACCCACAGATGTATCACACTAAAAAATTTCCTGATTTTTATGAATTGACAAATTGAGATAAATACTGTCTTATACTTAAAGATAATTATCAACTTTCTTAAATATATCAAGTAGCTATTATTTTACAGTTTAATAATCTCTTTATATATATTTATAGGTATTTTAGTTACTTTGAAGAATGTATGTAACTGCTCTTATAAATTGCATTGGATAAGTTTCTCTCTCTTTTTAACTTAAAGGTAAATGGCGATGAAGACCTTTCTGCTCTTGATATTGATGGCAACATAAATGGTGCTCCTGACGACAAAAATAAAGATTATAACTACAGAGGTGGCTACAGGGGAAGAGGCAGGGGACGCGGTAACTACTACCGTGGTCGGGGCAACTACAACAGTAGAGGTTTGTTCATGTTATAAATATTTTTTCTTTTACGGAATTTTCTTTTTCGAAATAGAGTATGAAATTTTAAAAAATAGACCATGTATTTAAGTGCATAATCTTGATATGACATAAAGAATGGACTTATCACATGACTAATTTTATCGACCAAAATATCTAAACTTTAAAAAGTTCATGAAATTTTCCGATCACTTTAGCTTAAATGATTCAGAAACTTAAGAATTTCATGGTTTTCAAAATTTAATGTCATACATAGATGAGTGTATGTCGAGTATTAATGAGTGTTACCAAAAATTGCCAGGATTTTGATACCGGGTTATGAAAACGTATAATCGAAACTTCTGGCCTGGTGTTGGGTAGGCAATGAATAACTGGTTAAATTTGTGAAAGAAATGATTGAGAGGTCACTCAAATTGCAGTGAACGCACATAGGAGGAAACAAAAACAAAAAAAGTTTCCTGTCCACTGTTATAGTTTCTTTAAAAATTTTCAAGATTTTTAATTTTATTTTCAAAAAAATAGTTGTTTCATGAGTTAAAAGTCAAATCTTCCTAATTGTTTCCAGTTTCACCCCCTTTCTATTGTTCAGTAAAAAAATTAGTTGTTCAATAGTGTATGTTTGAATTTAGAACTATTTTTCGGCACTCTACATTTTGACTGTATAAAATTTTATTTTATTCTTTTGATTCAATGTTAGTATTAAATCTTATATTTACCATAGCTGTAACTGTGTGTTAAAAAAAACTGTTATAATATGTGTAGCATAATTATATCTATTTTAGGTGGCGGATATCAAAACAACTATTATCGGGACAGGAATGGCTATAATGATAACTTTAGAAGAAATAACCGTGGTAAGACATTGAAAGTTTCATATCATCTGAATTTTAATAAATGCTTGCCTTTTATTTTATTGCGTGTAATGTTTTATTTATTCGATATAAATTTGTAACTATTTCAGGTCGAGGTGGCGGGAACAACAGAGGGCGTGGTAATTATCGTACAGATGCTCCTCATCAACAACGAAACAATTATCATCAGCAAAAACAAGACAACAGACCTCAGGAGCAAGAAACGCAACAGTAACCGTGAATTAATTTTTGACTCTTGGTGTACAGTGTACCATTCATCTCGGACTTGGCAGCGGCAGTGGAATATCCATGCTACAAAGAACTTTTTTTTTTTTTTAATATCACTAAGGAAAAGGACTTAAGCACTCAAATTTTTTGCTACCAAAAAAAAACTATTAAAAAATTTAATGAAAAAAAATATGTAACAAAGCTGTGGCCTTCTGACAAGTCTTCACCTTCTTGTCTTTTGTCTGATCACTGAACAAAAAAGAAATAATAAACACTTTCCTTAAATCATTCGTCTCACACAGTATTACATTGTGCAATTGAAAGGCGTGTCATGGGCATTGTGCCTAAAAGTGATTTGTGGCATGTTGTCAAGGGCATTATGCCTTAAGACTTGCACTCTGGCAGTGGTTTAGCTGGGACCAGCACATGCTGTGCGTGACTTACCTTAACCTCCTTGAAGGGAAAATATGTATTCGTAGTAGGCTAATTGAAAAATCCAGCTCTGCAACCATTGTCTGTATTTTGCAATGTGTCAAGCTTATGGATAAGTCTTTAATATTTTCTAACCTACCCAATATTTTTTAGGCTTATTTTAATCAGTCTTTATGCCTTTAGTCTAATTTTAAAATTTACAATGAGCTACACAGACTGACTGTAATAAGCCTCTAATTTGGTTCATAGTTAGCCTTTACTACTCTAGGCTTATTGTAAATGAGACTGATTGAGCGGTGATTATCATTTTTAAATTTTCCGAATTGTACGTGGCCTGCATTAAGCCTAAAAAGTGTGCCATGGGTGATTAGAACATAGTGAAAACTTGCAGTTAAGATTTTTGTGTTGCAAATTGGGGGCGACTGTTTGCAAAAGCCAGATTATTCTATTAACTTACGACATATCTGACAAAATGTTTCATGTATTATATAAATCATTGTGAGTATTTTTGATGTGGAAGGCTGCAATCATCTAAAGTGTGATGTTATAAATAAACATAAATTATTTAAAAGGAGAAAAAAGAGGAAATCATTTTTAATGTGATAAATTTTGCTACCTTTTGTGAGTTTTTTTTTTTTTTTTTTTGCTAGCTTTTTGTTTTAGCATCTTGACCTATCTTTCTCCCATATTTTGCTTATTTTTTTTCTTATGATAAGAAGGGATTTATTTTCCTCTGTTCCTAATGTTTTTCTTCAACTTATTGCATGTTACGTGTACAGAAATTCCAGATTAAATCCAGAGATGGAAATAAAAATAACGACAAGTATTTGTTGGTGTTTATTCGTGTCTCTTAAATGTCTAGGAATTGCCAAAAAAAAATTTGTTAAATTTTGTTTTCCTTCCCACGATGCCTGGCAATCTGCATTCTCCTGCTACTCGTATCTATTGTATGTCTTGTAGTCAGGTTATGCATGCTCCGTCAGCTTAAAAAGTTTTTTTTTTATTAATTTTTTGTAAAATTTTTTAAGTTTATGGACAACTGTGTTAGTCCTAACTGATAATCCAAAGCTGAATTGCTATAATGTTAATAAAGTGTTTTATGGAAAACGTTATTAGATTCTTATTTTGATATACTCACTTTATTTAGAATTAGCTCTTAATGCGTATCGGTCTAGCATTAATTAACTCATCATTCAGAAAATGCTGGCATTTTTTTTCCATAATTATTTACTGCAATATACAAATGAATTTTTGTTATGTGGCTACTGTGAAATAATGACATACTTACATGTACATGTTTGGACATTTCTTAAAAGAAACCTCTTTCTTCACTGTTGTAGGTGTGTTGATATACTTTTGATCATCTGATTTTACTTTAGGTAACTAATATTTGACATTTACTCTTTGCATCTCAGAGCATAAGCAATATAAGATCACCCAATTAAAAGCTGCAAGTACCCGCAAACTCGTAACTGTCACCCAATTCTTTAATAATAGTAATAAAATAAATAAAAAATATCTATGCATATATAGAATATCTTCAAGAAAGAAAAAAATAAAGAATTTTTGGCTTGAGACAAAAGCCAGGACCATGCTTCTTACCTTCTATCTTTTTTGTTGACCACTGTACAAGGGCGCCGGCAGCGGGGTGCATTTGCACCCCCTGGCTTTTTTTAAAAAAACAATTAAAGAGATACAGAAAATTTTTTTTATTAAACATATTTTTATGGAAAAACAAATAAGTAATTATTGATACATAACAATTAAAAAATTGTTTAATCAAACAAGAATTGTAATCGTCTTGTTTGCTGTCCAAATCTGTTTTTAACTTTTTCAATGAATTCTGAGTCATCTTTGATTCTTTTCTTATGCACACTGAGCATTCACAAACTTGGCAGATATCTAAGCTATATTTTTAAATTTCCTTTAATAAAATGTAAATAATATTATATTTCCATTAGTTATTCAGTTTAACAAAGATGTATAACACAAGCTGACTTCTCGCAACTGTAAAACTTCATCAACACAACTGTTTGTAGTTATTTGTGTTTCAAAGTCAGTAGCTATGCCAGCGCGATCGCCTCTGGGCAAAATTTGCAAGTACAGGAAATTCGTACTTTTTTTTAAATACCTTGCTACCAATGAAGAAATGTATCTTGAAAAAATGAACAGATGAAAGTATATGTAATAACAAAACAAATAAAAAAATTTTCGGGGGGAGGGGAGGGTAGATTGTTAGAGGGTTGCCGGCGCCCTTGCCACTGTACCAAGTCACATTTGTCTTTGAGAGTGTTATTGAATGACATACATAAATTGACAGGAAAGGAAAAACTTGTGAGGAAGTTTTCCATATTACACATTAGAATTCCTCCAAATTGGTTAGGTGTTTACCTAACCAATTGGTTAGTGTTAAAAGCTTGTGAGAGAACTTAATATGACAAAACACATTTGTAAGTGTGTCTAACAAAATAAATTTTAAAATGTGGAAACGAATATGATGCAGAATTCGTAGTTGTCCTGATTTTTGTGTGTTCAGAAAATCCCATTTTCTCAGAATATTGAATGCAAATTTTTGAAAAGTAGGTTTGAAGAATAGAGATAATTTTAATTAAATATCTTTATATTTTATTTAAAATAACTGGTAATAGTCCCAATTTAGGGGGCCTCATACTGATTATATACATGGTTCAGGCATTTTACCTTACCCACAGGAATCTTATCAAATTTTTATGATTTCCAGGGTGATATTCTTACTTATTATTTGCAGTAAAAAAAAATTATACATTTAGTGATCACCCACTAAAATTACTTTTGTACAATATTAGTCGCATTTTCATTGTGTCCGTAACTAATAAGATTAATTTTATGCATAAAATTATAATTCTGGTAAGTATTTGCTTCATAAAATTTTAGGGCTTGTCTTACGAATTTAATTATATTTAGACTGGTTATATATATAAGAAATATATTGAATGGTTGGTTGTAGAGTCCACACAGCCTCAGCTGTCTGCATATTCAGGACGATCAGTGATCTACTATATTGCTGCCATTCTAGCAGGGCAGATGATCAGGTCCCATTTTGGTGTTGAGGCAGTTTTTACAGTTAGTGTATGATTTGATTCCATCACCCTAAAGCTCTCTGTTTTATGCTTAAGTTTTATGCTGTTGAGTTCGCAGATCTGATGATACTCCTATTTTTGATTTTGAAAAAGAAATATATTTATAACTTGAAATATAGAAAAATGAGGATCGATGCAGGGAATGGTAAGAGAAAAAAAATATATATTTTCCTCTATCAGGTCCGTTTACACTGTTTGAGGAAATATATTTACTCGCAAGTAATTTGTCAATAAAGTTCACATATGTGAGTTTTTCGCTTGCAGTGTGACCGATCTCTTTGTTGCACTGCAACCGGACTACTAAAAACTCTTTGCCATAACTCTTTAAGACCAAATTTCTCATTAACATATTTTTCATAATTTTTATTTTGTATTGAGTTATGTCAAAATAAATTAAAAATATTACATTAAGGTCTTCTCACCGGTGTCTTTTTCTGTATTAAAGGTAAAATCTTCCAAAAAATTTTTCAATATTGCAGTTATTTAGATCTAAGAGGAAACAGTAATTCATCATTGAAATTTCTTTAATTTACAAAGTCTATTATCGATAAATGTTTGAATATGAATGAAAGAAAATTTTAATTACTTTTTGGAATTTATATTTTAGTTGTTGTTCATTTACGTCACACTAGAGCTGCACAATGGGCTATTGGCGACGGTCTGGGAAACATCCCTGAGGACACAGCAATATTATGCCATCACAATTTTGATCCTCTGCAGAGGGGATGGCACCCCCGCTTCGGTAGCCCGACGACCTGCACGCGAAGTCGAGCACTTTACGGTAGAACAGTTTAACGAGGACCAATACCGCACACCCTCGGTCCCTACGCAGACTGATTCAAGTGGATCACCCTCCCGCACACTGACCGCAGCCAGTGATGCTTGACTTCGGTGATCTGATGGGAACCGTGTCTTAACGATCAGTCCACTGCGGGACAAACATAAATCCGATTGTCTAAAGCAGGGGTTTCCAACTTACATGAGGCCGGGGGGGCACAATTAAAAACACCAGTTAAATGGCGGACTGCAACTTTATCAGAATTTCATATAGGACTCTTTTATGTTTGAAGGAACATTAAATATTAGTGTAGGATTTTTATGAAGTTGTTCAAGACAACAGTATTGAATTACAAATTAAAATAAGAAGAAGATTTTGAAATATATTTAATCGCATATTAAAAAATTCTGGCTGCAATAACTTTAGTGTGCACCTATGTATTAAACAATTAATGTGCAACAGACATCAAATTGTTAAGATATAAAACTTAAGTGTATTTAAAACCCATATAGATTTTTTACGAAAATTGTCCGCAAGAAAATGACAGCTAATATTTTTTAGTTCGCGGGCCACCAAAACAGGCCCACGGGCTGCCAGTTGGTAACCACTGGTCTAAAGGATTTTTTTTAGTAACTATTGCCCTGTTTTTATCATTGAAAATTATCAAAATATATTTTTGCTTGTTGTAAGTGCTTCAGAAAAAATGTATTAAAAGGACACCGTCTGCATCAAAGTGCTAACAAAAGTGAAAAAAAGAGAACGAGGAACTGGGTGATTAAGATCTCTTATGTTCTACAAGCAGCAATAATTCTTATACAGCCAGATAACTCAGGGATATCGTACGCGTTTGTAACGTTTCCGAATATTCATTGAATATTTTACAAACCTCTTACAAGTATGGAGTTGAATCCCTAGCAACCCTCTATAGAATTTTCCGATTAAGCAGATATTTTACAACCAATATCGGTTCTATATAGAATTGTCAGATTCATCCGATATTTCATATCCATTATTTAGCCAACATAGGTTCAATATTGGTCCCTCGGTGCATGTTCTTATAGGACCCTTTTTAAGCCCAGCTATGGCCATGGGATAAAATTGTTGCTAGAGATATGTGAGAAATTTGTATTTTAGAGATATCCAGATTTCTTATCTAATAATTCCTAGATATGAATATTTCGGTTATCTCCTAGATCAGTGTTCCCCAACCCCCGGTCCGCGGACCGGTACCGGTCTGTGGATCAAAGGGTACCGGGACGCCCATTTCATTGAAACTGAATTTATACCCCAAATTAAAAATATCTGTGTTCCATTAAAATTTTATGTATTAAAAAAAAAAAAGGGACCCCCGAAGGTAATGACATAACGTTTTGTATTGTATCATTGTCTCCGATTACCCCCAGATGGAACTGTCTCATTGCAAAGAAACAAGCTTAGGGTTCTCATTGATTTAACGTTCTAGTAAGTTAAAATGCTAAATCACTTAATATTTATTTTTTGGTGTAACTGTATTTTGTTTTGAAAACATGTTTAAATACAATTAAATTAGAATTAATATGATGTACTAAGTCAATATTAATATATGTAATTAAAATATTATATATTAAAATTAATCTATGTAATTAAATATGATCTAAAATATAAACAATCAACGCCCCCCCCTGCTTGCCGTGGTAAAATTATCAAACGTTGACAGGTCCGCGGTGATAAAAAGGTTGGGGAACACTGTCCTAGATGACTATATCCCTAAGCTTAAATTTTTGATAAAAATTGGAATTTCAAAAATTAGTTCTGCTTTGTATTGTTAGAAGTAATTTGTTTCATAAAATTATGGATTGTAAAGTTTAAATATAGGTCTTCTCATTATATCATTAAATTCAGTGCCGCAGGTTTCAAGGAATAAAATAAGTACCCCGAAGATATATGTGATACGTCACATTTATCTGTATGATGTCTTTGGGTTGAAGATGTCTGTCACACAGTTGAGATCCTTATATTTCTGACTGATATTTCTTAGGTATTCAGATACCATGTTAAATTTGATATTATCCCAATTTTTAATATTGGAGGTACCTCAAAGATGTTACAAGAATATTTGTCACCAGTGGTGTACACAGACTTAGGTGCGCCCACCTGCAAGAATTATAATAATGTGAGACAATACCACTATGATTTGACTTTCGGAATTGTCGAGATGTAAAAATTATTGG